GATGTGATTACTGTAGAGATAAAGCTCTTTTAAGTTGGCTGAAGCGTTACGAAAAAACGTCTCTGGAATTTCCACAAATACGTTGAACGCCGCTGTAAACTTTACCAAGCTGGGAAGTGAAGGTAGTAGCCATCTTGGTTCAGGAAGAGTTAAACTACAGTTGAAGAGTCGGATCTCTTCCAGGCTGTCTTCTCCGCTGATAAATTGAATGTTTGTACCACTTTTCGGGAAAAAGGTCAAATGAGTATTAGAAAATGAAATTTTTTTAAGTACTAAACCTCTAAGCGTTTCAGGTTGGAAGTAACCAATGTCTGAATCGTATATGTAAATATAGTGCGTTTGCACACCGTAAAAATATCTTGCTTTATGCAGAAGCCTTTCAAACTCTTCAGTCCCGCGAACTCTTCTACAAACCATAGCCAAATCCTGATCGATGAAAGAACAGTCACACTTATCTTGGGCTTCAAATGGACACTGTGCAATATTGGCATCACTAGTCCAAAGGATGGAGAGAAGGGGAATCAAGCAAGACACTAGTTCACAATATGAGGTACGTTTCGAATAGAAAATCATGTCTTATATTAAAATACCAGCGCCAAAAAAACTAAATCAACTTGAATTTTGCGTTATTGATACTAATATCTGGTGCCAATATCTTTTTTTATTTCCTATTCTGTTTTCTCATCTATTATTTCTGTTTTAAAAAGTTTGAATGTACGATCGAAGATACATATTTCCTCTTCCATCATGTGCTCGGTGAATTAAAAGAGTACCGTCTCAATGTCTTTTCCTATAAACGGCATTCCTATCATGTCACATCCTGTCAATTCACATTAAACAAAGATGAGGATGTAACGATATCAGTAAACAGGAAGGAACTGAGTGGTATTGGTGTTAGTTAGCTACTACATTCCGTATTTTTAAATGCAGTATAAAGAGAAAAAATACAATTGGTAAAACAATTCCTTTTTAACGACAGCTCTCATTCAAAATCGAATATTAAACTTTGGTTTTTGTAGAAACCCAAACCAATATACTTGTTAACCTTCAGATTTCACGATATTTTTGTATATTTGACATTTATTTAGCCTTATAAATATACTTGTTAACCTTCAGATTTCACGATAATTTTGTATATTTGACATTTATTTAGCCTTATAAATGTTCTTACACCCCTTATATCCCTTAGACTGATTATGACTAAATTCTAACACCTCAAGACCTGACAAAGTAATAATAATATACCATGTTATCCATCAAATTTTGACGAAAATCAAATACCTTTGTTTTAGATCACATATATTGTTTTCCTGTCATACCATAGAGTAAGGAAAATTTCTTATATAACTATCTCCTCTCAATAGCCTGTCATGACCTGGTAGTCAAGTCTTTCGACTACCAATCTGCAGATCATGGGATCGAAGCCCGTCGCTGAATATCATTGCTTTTTTTTGCAGTGGAAGCGTTATAATGTGACGGTCGATCTCACTATTCCTTGGTAAAAAGTAGCTCAAGAATTGGCGGCGAATTGTTTTGAATAACTGCATTCACTCTGGTCTATAACTTTCAAGTTTCGCAATCTGAGGGTCGCGGGTTCGAATCCCCGTCCCACCAAACATGCTCGCCCTTTCAGCTGTGGGGGCGTTATAATGTTACGGTCAATCCTACTATTCGTTGGTAAAAGAGTAGCCCAAGAGTTGGCGGTGGATGGTGATGACTAGCTGCCTTACCTCTAGTTTTTCACTAGCGCAGATAGACCACGTATAGCTTTGCGCGAAATTCAAAGAGCATACAAACAAAACAAACATTTTCAAATTAAAGTCGGCTAGTACAAATAGCCCTTGAATAGCTCTGAGCGAAATCCCACACGTTCCACGTCTACGACAAAATAATAAAACTCCTGTTGCTTCAACACACGTGCCAATATTTCAGACAGTGTCAAAGTAATTGTACTTTTATTGTTTAATTCCACCGTTATTTCTTCGACTGACGACGGCCGTCACTAAGTAGTTAGCGCACACGGACTGTGAATCTGAGAATATTGAGATAAACTTCCATATTCCATGTACAAATAATACAAAAGTCGCAAAATTATTATTTTCGTCAAAGAATGAATTACCTGTTTGAAAAATTAACTGTAAAAAATGTATTGAACTTTTAAATGTATATAAAATACCGCTAGAAGCGCAAGCTTCATTCTCAGAGCGTTTTGTAAATAAAGTCATTTCTTATTCTTGACTATATTCACGTCTGTTGACATAACACCAGGGATACCAAATAATTCTAATGATACTGATCCATTAAAGTCTTTGTTCGTCATTACCTATTGTTGGCTATGTTCACGAATCTTGATATAATATCAAAAGATACGAAAATAATTCTAGTGATACTTCTAATAAAGTATTTGTTCGTCATCACCTATTGTTGACTGTATTAACGTCTGTCGATACAACATCAGAAGACACAAATCTAACTCTATCAATACGTGTCCAACGTGGAGTCTCATTCAAAATTGTACTACCAGAGGTAACACATAACGCTAGTGGCACATGATATAAAATCTGACACCACTCCTGTCTTTTAGAAAATATCACATGTTGTAGCACACAGCAAAAATTTTATTTGGAACTTCAGCACAAGTATGAAATCTTATTAAAATACATATCGTATTATTAATTATTTTACATATAAAGCAGCCTCTTAACTTAATTGTTTGACCCCTTCCATCATTCTTATGGACTTTGGTTTGGAGTGCCTTTCAAATCAATGACACTTCACTCAGAATTCAGAGCCTTAAATTGGTATAACCGCTAAAGAAGAAAAAAAAAGTTGGTTATCCCTTCTATAAAGAAAGTTCATTACAACATCAGTCGATCTGAGCGGATCCGATGTTTTTCAAGTTTTAAGGCTTGGATGAAAAAGTTATGTCCACAGCTCCCATATATTTCATAAATTGCTGAAAACGTCCAGTCCCGCTAAATTGAAGGAAAAGTTAGTTTTGCTAACATAGAGAGTGGCTCGAACAACTGTGATAATTCCAACAAACGAAAAAGATTATCGAAACCCGATTTGTAACGTTATAAAACCCTTTAACTTCCCACTGAGCTACTGGGGGGGTATATTAATTCACTAAATCAGTTTATAATATTTCGTTTTGTTCGTTTATTTGTTATAAGCACAAAGATTCAAATTGGGATGTCTGTGCTATGATCACCGCAATTATTGACATCTGATTTTCAGCGTCATAATCCCTCTGATATACCGCTGAAACAACTGTTGGTATACTATTTAGTATACCTGACTTCAAAGAATTAGTTCACATGCTTTTCAGTAGATGGCAGTTAGCTATCAGCGTCTTACCCTATTAGTTAACACAATTTTCAGTGTTTAGTATATCAGGTTGTTGAGAGTTAGTTGAAGTTCTCTTCTATAAAAGACAGTTAGTTATTAGTTCTTTAGCTTATTAAACCATATCATAGAGTTTAATATATCAGAATTAGTTTAAGTTGTATTTGTAGATGACACTTATCATTTTTATAAAACATGAACAAAGTATTAAGATTAGGACGATACTTGTGTAAGTTTCACACATATATATATTAAAGAAATAAAGTCAACATTTAATATTAGGTCGTCAAGAAATTAATGCCGCATTTTTGTAGATGAAAAAACCCGAACAACCTATATATCAAAACAAAACATATAAAATGAAATAGTCTCCATTCTTATCGATGATGTTTTTCCATCTTACAATCAGGTTGTTAATGCCCTGATTGAAGAAATCATTTGGTTTTGAAGCAAAAAACATGCCGATGTCCTCTTTAACACCTTCCACATTTGAATACGTTTTCCCATAGAGATGGTGTTGCAGCGAACGAAAAAGATGGTAATCTGATGGTATCATATCTGGCGAATATGGCGGGTGGAGGAGAACTTCTCAACCCAACTCCATAATCTTGTGTTGCATCAAATGTGCCACATGTAAATGTGCATTGTCCTTTCCGATTGACGAGAGAAGGGCTTTTCTGATGAAGGGCTTGATTTAAACGTTCCAGTTACTGATTATAGATCTCTGTATTGACAGTTCGCTGTGGATTAAGGAGTTCGAAATGAATTACTCCTTTGATGTCCCACCAACGCAAAGCATCATTTTCTGTAGATGGAGTCCAGGTTTTGGGGTCGGAAGAGATTTGTGTCTAGGATTGAACCGTGAACCATTTTTGGACAGAATTGTCACTGGTGATGAAAAATGATTCTCTATGTGAATATTAAACGCCAAAAACAATCGCATTACGTGCCAGAAGAGACGAAGCAATGTTCACACGTTGGAAACGATGATCATTGGAGAGTTTGTGAGACACACAAACACCTTCTTTAAGGAGTTTTCCCATATTCCTCAGATGTTTATATATTGTTTCATGAGAGATGTGTAATTTCAGGGCCATTTCACCAGTTTGTTGTCTTGGGTTAGACTGAACAAGCGTCCTCAGAGCATCAATATCAATTCTAACATGCCATCACAGTTTTTAAAGCCAAAATCACCTGAACAAAATTTGCTGAACCATCGTTGACACTTATGAACTTTCAAAACATTTCCATATACTTCATGATATTTTTTGTGGCTACAGAGTCATTGTTTCTCTTCTTGTATTCAAGCAGCATTACATGCCAAATGTGTGTCTCATCATGTGCCATCACTATAAGGGATTAGAGTATGCTAAACTTTACACATTATATAGGCTACACTAATGTGATGTTTAGGCATTTAACTATATATGCGTAATGTATGCTTTTTTGAGGGTGGTTAATGAAAGTGTTCCAAAACGTGACATTAATTTCATGATGACCTAATATATTTTACAAGAAGTGATACTTGTATATACCTTCAGTTTTTCTTGAAACAGTTATATTTAACAAGAGCTTTATGGATTAGTAAAAGTGCATAAAGTACCTACATTTTGTAAGTTGGCATTTTAAATTGTTACCTTTATTTTTTTCAGATCTACAAAGGTGTAGTAATTATTATCAGTTGTTACCACAACAAAATGTTGACCAGGTAGATAAGATAAGAACTTCTGAAGACTGTGAAGTCAAGTATTGTTACAAAGTAGAAAATACAAAAGGTTCCGCCTGTCCACTGAGAAAAGAGAGGTTAAAAAACACTGGAGGTCCAAGTGTCAAGGTGGTAGATATCACAAAACAAAGTAACACAAATTCTGAAAATATCTGGAAAGTGTCATGTGGTAAGAGAGAAAAAGATGTTTTGGGAGAAGCAAGAAACTCAGAAACCTGTGACTTTGAAGAAGCGGGAGGTACAGCAATAAAGGAATATAAGAATAATTATTTTCCAAACCTTGTATCCAGTTCTTCATTACCGAAGGATAAAGTTAATATTAATTTGCTTTATAAAAGAGAGCCCTATTCATCTAGGACTGTTGATCACACATCTGAAAATAATAAATATAATATAGACACATCAGAGATACAATATGACAGCATGTACTGTTTAGATGATAACTTAGGATATCGAAGAATTATAAGGTCACAGTCAACTGGTGATAACCAAGAACCCTCTGGAAACAAAAGACTTGCTAATATAGGTGAAATTTCAGTTTCAGAAAAAAGCAGATCATCTAATATACAATTCATTTCAACAGACCATGATTTTTCAAACAATTCCAGATCTTTTGATACTAGTTTTCAAGAACTATCCCCATATCCATTGGCAGCAGCAAGTGTTCAAGAAAATAAGCTGGAACTGAAAATTTTAGAAGCATTACAAAAAAGTGGTTATTCTTATAATGAATTATCAACTGAAGGCCTTAGTGGAATGTATAAAGAAGCTTTTGCTGACCAGGTTGCATCAGTTTTGATGAAAATGGGTTTGACGGGTATTTCTGATGCTGCATTGGCTGGTATTGTTCAACATCTGAGTTATGGGCAACAGAGTAGTTTACCATGTACTACCATAGACAATGGAATAAAAGAAGAAATTGTATCATATTATAAGGATACTTCATCAGTTGAAAGAGTTAAAGAAACACTATCAAAGCTAGGCATACCTCTATCAGACATGTCTACCAAGATACATACTACATAAGTTACTGAAACAACTATAAACTAACACTCTATGTTAATCCATTCTTATTCTGTGATTCTGTAATGACATCTGTTACAGAATTTGTCAATCAGTCGAAACTTCATTTTCTTTTAGTTCTGTAATGAAGCCTTTCACATCTGTTGTACCTAAAAACAGACTCAGGATCAAATATAAATTAAAAGAAAACTGGATAGAAATGAAAAAACAACAACTCTGTCTTTCAATTTAATTCCTGGGGTGCAGGAAATTCAACCAACCGAGAATTAAGATTAAGTTTGAAATGATACCAGACAAAAATAAGAGACACATCATGCAAGCAAAATTTCAGTTTGTAAGACCAGAAATAAAAGTACCTAAATATGAGATGTAAATGGATCAAGAAAGAAGACCAAGAAAAAATATCTGTTACTAACAGCAGCATAGTTACTCAGGAAGGCTCTTTGAAGAAACCATGGAAACAGTATTGAAGGTTCCAGATCATTCCAGAAAAATATTTTTTGATCAAATTCATGTCACTCCATGGATATCTAAGACTGTTCAAGATCCAGTAGAATTGAAACAGAACATCTTGAAAAATTATACACAGCAAGCAAATTCAGTGGGAATTTATCAGTACATTTATGAAATAAGACTTGGTTTGCCATCAGTAAGAAGTGGGAGGCCTTCTCTTTATCAAAGCAACCCCTTCTATAACACCTATATTTCATCTTAAAATTTTGGAGGTAGCCTGAAACTATGCACCTTTTCCAGTAGAACCAACTGAATTTTGTGAGATCATTAAGCCTTCAAATGAATTTGAATATGCTGTCATCACTGTTTTCAACAGTTTTAGATGGAAGATCTAATAAGTTTCAAACGTGGTTTCTGTTGTTCTTCAGATTACCATGTTTAAGAGAGACGACTAGTTTTAATTTGAAAAGTTGTGGCCATTATGGTTTATAGTATACTCAAATTTCATGAAAACACCCAGTTGAAAAACAAGAAAAATCTCAATTCATGGCTCTTAAATATCTTTGCTAAGTAGTTAATATTTTAGTGTTGAGGCCTTTAACATTCATCATTCAGTAATTGAAGAAGTATAACTCATCTTTGCTGTTTGACATGGATTTGTATTGGATATTCTGTGCTAACATTGTATATAATGTGATTTAAAGTTAAAGTTTTGTTAAGTGTTTAGAACTTCTAAGGTGGAGCATATAAAGATCTATATACACCTTGTGTTAACAAACCTTAAAATTTAGTCAAAATTGTAAGTTTCTTGTAAGATGTACTTGAGATATAACTATTTAATACCTTTTTTTCACGTGGATAATCACATCATTATGTTATTTTTTGGCTTTTATTATATCTGGTACTCTGTTACTAATTTTTCTCATGTAGACAGTTTGAGGATTTTTTTAGCTTGATGGGACCTTTATTTTTTCACTAAAATTTTAGGTAAAGCTGTGACTAAAAAATTTCATATTGTTTTTTTTTCAATATCATTGAAATTCAAAAAACTGTATAGTAATTGGTTGTCTTGGTGTTTTATTTGAATATAGTAGAAGTGGTTGTTTCGGCCTTTTTTTTTCTTCTATAGAAAATAATGGTATATATATATATATGTGTGTGTGTGTATATATATATATATATATATATAGGTAATTTATATCGTTTCCTATTTTTTGGCATTCATTGATTATGCTACAAACTAATATAACTTGAAAACTGCTATGCTCACAGAACAATTTGCTTCAATAATATATGTTACTGTATTTTTTTGTTTTTGTTGATAGAAGGTTACTAAATGTATAACTGTAAATGTAACTTTAAAATGATGAACCTAAAATCTCTGTAGTGTGTATTTAGTGAAATATATCTTGTGTGTGTGTTTTTGGTGTATTAGACATTTTAATATTCAGGATGTGTTTAATTTTCATGTCACTTGGAAACTTACAGGGCTTTCAAGATATTGATTGTTAAGAATATTAAGCTTGTCTGTTTATCTATCTGATTAAGAACTTTATTAGATAATAAAATCACTGGAAAGAATACTTGTCTGATTTGGTTGTAAATGAAACAGTTGTTTGTTTTTCAGTTTTCTTACAAGCAAAGTTATTTCAGTATTTTTTAGTTAAGTTGCTTTTTTAAAACGATTTGAGTGTATTGGGTTAGATTCCTGTTGGCACCAAATTTGCTCACTATGTCCTTGTTATGACAAAGCTGCTAAGGCTATTGCCACTAGCATTGATTTTAAACTGCTGACTAGAGGAAAGGCAACTGGCTAGCAATGCCCACCACCAAACTTATATTTAGTTATTTATTTTGCTTTAGGTTTGAGGAACACTGTACTATTCAAGGAATCAAATATAATTGATTAATGGGACTATTAATTAACTGTTTAGCAAATACCACTAATCACTAAGGTCAATCAGCTCATAGAAACTTGTGTCTTATCCTTCCAACTGGACATGATCCACAATCCAAGTTAATGATGACACAGAAATTTGATGAAACATGTATAAGCTCTATGGAATAGTCTCTGTGGTGTATAACACAAGCCTGAGGTAAGTACTGGTGCAGATTTACAAGTACCTGCAACCTTTTGTATGGACATTAACTAACTGGAGATCATCATATGAAAAATTTTACCCAAATATATCTAAATAATGATATATTATTTTCTAAGTTTTGATGTGTTCATATTGTGGACTTAGATTTTCCAGGATGAGGATATCCATTTTACGTAATGGCATTGAAAAACAAAGGAATGTGAATCAACTTAGGATGAAGAACCAACCAAAAAGAGACCTGCACAAATCGTACCCCAGTCATGGTAAGCAAAGTGTGGTGTCTAGTAACAGGTGAGAATGCACAAACACAAACATTCAGTAGCAAAAGCCATCCATATGTCCTAGGCAAGTATGTAACAAAAAAAAATAAGAATTTTACACCTGGAAAAGTGACACAAGTAGCCAGTACAATTTGCTTCCAAAAGGTGTCTATTCAACCATTGCACATTTCAAGCAGCTGGAGAATGAAACATATATATTGATACTATTTTATAAGAAGACATAACGGTCAAGTTGCCAAATGCAGCGCCTTTGGATTTCTGTGTGATTGGACTGTTGAAACAGATGCTAGGAAACCATTTTAGTTAATTCAGTTTGACCTGAGCATACTATAGTGTATACGAAGGAGAAAATTTTGGTGCCGTGCCTAGGCTATCTTATTGTGGAATTTGCTGATTCTGCTGAAGTGTGTACTGCCCTTTAATTGAATTTGTGCTTTAAGTGTAAAAAAAGCTTCTTAGTGACAAAAATGGTATTTTACACAGCTAGAATGACTTATAAACAAGAGGGAGAGTCAATCACTAAGGGAATACAATTGTATGATAAAATTTTCTGGTCTAGAAGAAAGCATTTTCTGGACATAGACATTAACCCATGCTGTTACGATGCATGTCTTTCATTTTATTATAGATGATGACATGGGAAGAAAAGCTGCTGATGCACCCATAATTGCTGTTCATTCTCTTCCCCTGAGTATCGATCTTAGTATGAAGAAAACACAGATGACTGAGAATTATCACGATTATGTGGCATCTGGTGAGTTTGATGCTAAGTGGGATGGTCTGTATAGAACTCCCAGATTTATGTCTTTCAGAGTAACCCAACTCAGCTCTGGTCAAAGCTGTTCTTAAACATTGGAGAGGGACTGAAGATTGGATGATGTACACCAATAAAGGCAATCTCACCACATATGAGAGTGTAGGCAATGAATGAGGAACTAAGTGGATCATAGAGCATTGATGAGCCTTTATAAGCCAGGATATATACTGACAAAATAACCATCGATCACAGAGGAATCTGGAATAATGTATAGCCAGTGGGTTAGTTGCCAAGCATACCTTGTCATTTTGCCATCTTATACCATAGGTCTGCTGCTTGTCAGAGTGTCAAGGACCCTGAGGGTACCTACAGTGCTGTGCCTATGATGTTGTGACAATCATGGTTCCTTGTAAGGAAAGCAAAGCAGATAACTGTCGATATTCAAGGATACAGCAAAGGAGGAATTGGACCATCTAACCAAAATTTCAGACAAGTAACAGCTTGACATAACTGAACTCCAGAAAAGGATATGTAATGCTTGGTTTTGAGTTTAGACATTTTGTCTTTAGACCCCATTGAACACCTAAGTGAGGAGCAACTGTAAGATTGTGAGACAGTCATTACTAAGTTGTGCCAGAGGTTGACTCAGTGGGAAACAGCAATTCAATGAGCAAAGTTCAAGGCTTGGAAGAGTGGTATCACAGAAAGTTTGACCCCCCCCCCATGTGGATTATCTTCCCTTTTCCACCATTAGGCTTACCAAACAATGGCCTCAGTAAATAGCAAGGATATCCTCTGATAAGTTTATGAAAGGGGTACTCAATAAAATGATGTGGCACTACTTGGATGCCAGTTCATCTCACCCTTACTGAGACAGTTTCTGTTGTGATGAAATACAAAGTGGCAACTTCAAACCAGTTACAAAGAAGGAAGAACCTCATGATGGTAACTGCAGTAACTTCACCTCAGACTGACTGTCCTGTCAAGACACCCACATATTGTGTTCTAGGCAAGCTGAGGGTTATCCAGTTACTCACACATTTTGGTGTTGCTGTTGCAATTACAACTGCACTGGTATTTAATAAATGGGCAAGGCTATTGCTGTCCTTTTGTGATTAATGTGACACAACCTACACCACTGATGTCTCTGCTAGGATGTCATCTTGGAAGAGAGGAGTTGAAGTGGCTGTTTTGCCTATGGACTGTTAGGTCACTTTCAGATGTACTTCCCATACTTTGCTGAGCAGCAAGGTAGACAAGACTTTTGGTTTCTACTTATGATGCAACAGGGACAGGAGAGTCAACAGCAGGCAATGAATACTGCTACTGCTACAGCACCAGGAAACTAGAGTTCTACTGACTTGAGGGAATGAAATAAACAACTTGCCAAAAGGTGTATGGTCAGTCTAATTCTCTTAGGGCTGGGTGGAGCTTGATGTGTACTCGTTGGAGCACAAGAGTGATAGAATTCGTGGTTGACACAGAAAGGATTAGACCATCGTATATTAGCAGCTGCAAACGAAATTACCATTTGGACCAGTAGTTACGAACATCATTTTGTCAAATGGATATAAACTAGACGTGAATGGAGGGGTCATACTCTGACTATGTCTAGGAAGCTTTACAGAATAAAGGTAGTACTACAGAGCTTATCAGTCAGTTTCACCTGTGCGACTGGTTAACTAATGTTCCATGGTAGAGTTATCTGATGTTGGCAATTCGATGACGAGGAACCCACTTTAAGACTAATAATGGTTGGAAATGGCTTGAATGGGTAATGAAGAAAAACTTTAATATAAGTTTAACTTAACAGCAAATGTACAACGTTTCGACAAGGTTTTGTCATCATCAGGTACCTGATGCAAGGTAGAAATCAGTAGTCCCATAAATGCTTTGTTCCCCCCACAGCAAAATGTCAGGTGCTCTAGCAATAGGTCTCTTGACTTGAACGTATTTGGAAATAAAAAATTTCTCAGCTGGATTCAGTTGTACAATACCCAGTTGATAAAAAATTCAGTCTAGTGCTTGGTCACTTGACTCGCTTCCAGATATTAACTTATCTACATGACTTATGGCATCAAATGGTGAATTCCAATGAATTGGACAAGGAACAACCAAGCGTCCCTATTTCTTTCTCAATTTGATCGGCAGCTACAGTGCATCTGCTCTGTTTATTCCATAAGGTTTAAGCTTTTGCTATTGGTGATTGAGATACTTTTTTATGTTAGTATTATTTAAAGCTTTATCTACATCAGTAGTAGCAACTAGATTCAATGTATAAGAGGCACATCTTTGATGGTCTGGCAAAATACATCATCAACATCTAAAATATTGGCAAGAGAATGAATTTTTACAACATCGTTGTCATCATCATGATCTATGACTGCATCATCCCCACTACCAGCAGCATCACCATATAGTTGATCAGGAGAGATGGTGGATGCATCATTGAAGAACAGTCTGTAAAAGAAATTATCACTCTATTACTTAAACTTACAACATAAATGCAAAAAATAATTTTGGTATTTGATAACGTGGCAAATAATCCATCCATGAAGGGCAATGTTACGATTTCCAACCAAGTGAACCAGAAACCAACCAAAAAACACATCCAAATAGGTGTAATATTATATTACTCCTACTTGGATGCATTTGTTGTATATATATATATTGGATGTTGTGTATATATATATATATAAATTAACCTTTCCATGATGATGAATGGTTCTTTAATATTTTATTCTGGCTAACACCAGATGATTTTATTAAGATTAAAGAAAGACTCCCAGGCATGAAATGGATAATTATATGCTATGGCGGTCACACACATACACCGTTTTATTATATATATATATATACCAGAGCATAAAACACAGTGTGCATATTGGCATACATGCTAGAACTTCGCTTTCCACAAGATCACTCAGCAGATATTCTTCCCTCGAACTGACGTCAAACCAATGCTTCATAGTAACTTGAAACGCGAATTTACTCGTAACTATGCATATTACCACCTGACAGGGGCATTCTTTAGCCTCTAGATATTATTTAGTCAGTCAGTGAAAACATTGCTGTGACTGACCTGTTCTGTGCAATATGCAAATAACCAAAGTAGATAATATTTGCTAGAGAACAAAAAAGGTAACTAGAAAGTCCTTTCTTAAATAAAACTAGTTCATTCTTTCTCAATACAACTTTGCAATACACTTAATTTCCACAGTCACTTTAACTTAAACCCACGCAATAATTCACAATGATTTACGCACTTTACTTATGGTCACTACCGCGCTTGACTCAATTATCTATCTCTGCCTGTCTGCAATTATCTATGCCGTCACTTCTCTCTCTCTGCCGGGCTTATATATTAAAATAGAGGTCGCCTAGAAAACACTCGGGCCTTCATAATCCTTCTAGAATCCCATGACGTGTTACTAAGGTCACGTGACTTCCGCTGTCGTAACACTGCCCCATCCTTAGTATTGTTCGTCCCGAACAATAGCCACTTACAATAAACCAATAACAATTAACAATAAGTTAATTAAAATGTACAGAATTACAAACACAAAATTACAATTCAACAAAGACTCTTAATTTTATGGGACGTATCTTCTTCCGTATGGTATCCGTCTCGTTGAATTCTGCTTCATGTGGGGTTCATCTACTTCATCAGTAAATGTCCTA